CAATACCGGATTTTGAAGGTACATATCGCATAATTGTTCAAGTTGATTCTCATCTAAGGTCGCAGTTAACACTATTGATTGGCACCATGGGAAATTCATCATGTATTCCTCTCAGCGAATTATATGACGATCTAAAACTCTCATTTCTATCAAATACTTTGTGAACTTCGTCAATCACCAGCATTTTAAATTTTTCTGAGGTTAACTCTTTCTCGACAGGTTCCTATTATGTAAATCACTCACTTCATGGTTCATATCTTCAGTTCGGTAAATGCTACGTGGACCAAAATACCACCATTCGATTCAGTGTAACAATAGCTACTCATTCCTATCGATAGATTTAGTGAATGGCAACATTATAGCGATTTATGAGCTTTGAAAGTCAAATGAACTCGTATATGATCAAATTATGCAATATTACTGACAAATTATTAACATAAACATACCTTTCGCCGAATATAACTTTGTCCCATTGAGATGTACGCTCATTCTGATAGTCTTGATGAATGAAGCAGTTAAAAATAACATGTATACTGTTATTTTCAAGCTTCTATCTTTAAAGTGTGACTTTTAGTGCTGAATTTTGCATTTCTGCTCCGAATTTGCGTTAATCTCAACCGGAAATACGACGAAAAACCATCAAGACAATGCTACGCTTGTATCGTGTGACTCTGGAAATGCCAGAAATGGATTCTACAGGTCAAAGTGCACCCATACGCGTGAGTTTGACGTCATTGACGTTATTGGCCAAGTATTACATAATACAAGCGTGTGCGAGTAAAACCCGATACTTTAAAAATTCAAAATAAATATTTCTAGTCGGCGTATACATACAAAACTTTCTACACGAAAGCGCTTGAATACAAAGAGTATTTTACACATATAGCCTTTCAGAAAATGACGAAAAGTTTAGAATATATTCAACTTTTTCTCTTTTGAATGTTTGGCGAAGCGGTGAGTATAATATATGATTGTTTCGGTTTGTGTAATGTTTTGACGGCACTTGACCCCCCCGTTCGAAAGGTTATTTTGTGAGTATTACAATGGTGGGTTTTGTTTCAAAGGGGGGTAAATACTCGCCGAGATATTTATTTTAGAAAATTGAATCATAATGTAATGCGAAACCACTTGTTGAGAAAGAGTTAAGCATTACTTCAACTTCTTATCGAAGAATTCAGGCATAGTGCAAAGAAGTGGAGGCATCTCTTCTTGATATAACACTGTCTCAACCCCAAAGTGTGGACCCACAGCAAGTGCATTGATATTGTGGTCTCTGAGCCCTTCAGTTGAGAATTGATAAGTGAGATGGTAGGACATATCACAACTACTGTTTTGTTTTTTTCGAAAATGGATGGAAGCAGGTAACAAACTTTTTTCACTGCCAGTTTTTTGAACTACAGTGATGTCTTCATTTTTTTCTATTGCACAAATTTGCATCCAATTGGAATTGCTTTAAAGAAGACATTCCAAACTTTGTCAAGTAGCCTTTCCATTGGAGCTCTTTCATTTCATCCGCTTTATTCTTTGGTGATGGATGTTGCGAATGAATAGGTTTATCACAACTTTCTTCTTTCTCTTGAGAGATGTCTAGATCTGGTATTTGTTGACCAGTTACTGTCAAGCTAAAGTTTGCACCGTTAGAAGAGTGCTTTGTTGGAGCACACATTCTGTCTGGGTTTTTTTAGATCCTTTTGAAATCTCTGTCTTGGAATGTGCTAGATCGGCCAATTGTATTTATACAGACTTACATAGTCACATACTAACAAGCCAGCATGGCGGCTGGTACAGGGGCGGACATATCGATTTTGACTGGGAGGGTGTAATCACGAAATGAGACCGACTCACCACTGAAATGTGAATCCAGACCGACTCTTGGTGAGTTGGTGTGTTGCAATAAAATTGAGTACAGAGCATGGAAATTGATGGCATTTATTAGGAATTTTGCAAGAACACATACAGTTTACTGTGAAACGTTATATTTTTATTAAGTGTCCGCGCTTAGTCAGGTTTGACTACGGATTAGCGATTTCTTCAAGATCGATCGTGTCTGTTAGATTGCGCTCACACGCAAAGAGTCAAGAGTTCACCGAGGCATTCCTGGTTCATTACTAAATGCATAACAGTTTTAATTTCACTGATTTCAGCTTTGAAAAGCTGTGGTCGGCGAATGCGGATGTTACAGTAACTGTCAGGCGCATAACTATAGGATTTTTGATTGACCGAGACACTTCTGGGGCGGGTCTGGGGGCATGCTCCCCCAGAAAATTTTTGATTTTCTAAGGCTTAGAAATGCTATTTCCTGCATTCTGGGAGCAGTTCAAATGAAATATCAATTTCATAAACAGTGACACAATGACTAAAATTTTATACTGTTGTTTTCCCCCAATCCTGAGGCTAAGAATTACAAATATTTTTGGTCGAACATCATTGATCAGGTGCATAATAAAAAGTGTTTGTGCTCAATTGTTGTAATTTTTGGGCGCTGGCCCGCACTTTTGTTATTGGGGTACTTGTGCACCCATACAGCCTCCCATTTCTTATGTCACTGTAGGGCAAGAATAATGCTTCTTTACATTGAGAGAACTATACAGTCTGTCACTGAACTTGAGCTCGATTGACTCATATACCTAGTTATGGGCCTGACTGTAAGCAACAATTGGAAACATCGCATAGTCAGTGGAAACAATTTTTCCCTCCGTGATTTCAGATAAACCAGTGCGTCGTTCACTGATCTAATGTCTTGATTGCAGTAGGCACATAAACTCTTTGGTAACAAAATGCATATGCATAATTATCGTGTTACATGTGAACATACTTCCTAATATAACTCGGCTAGAAATTCGTTTTTGCACTTTACATCTTAAAAATATAGTTTAGGGACCGGAGAAATATTGTAACTAATGTTAGCTATTTTGATCGAGATTCATCACATTTTGGAGTCTGATTTTGGGGGTTTGAATTTTTGCTAATATAGAATATCACCCGTGAATGACCTTGCAGAACCTAAATTCCAAATAAAAGTGGCAACACGTAATTGTGACATATAGATATATCATGTGTGTTTGGAATGTAAATGGAAACTTCATCCCTTTGCACGTGTTTTGAATGATAATTCGTTCATAAACTCGCGAAATAAGTACGTAATATTGTAATATTTCTTCATATTACTTCTGAGCTGTTTGATCCGTTTGAGCACATTTCCAACTCAATAATTTTGAGACCGACTGCACGTAGTTTGAGACCGACTGGGTCATTTCTCTGGGGGGCGGGTGTGAACCATCCCCCCCCCACCCCCCCACCCCAACACATTTACGCCCCTGGACTGGTACTGTGACTTTAAAGTTCCATGCTATTTTTTAAAGAACTTGAATGTGTCTATCCTAGCATTCTTCTTTATTTGAGAATCACTGTATTCTGCATCCAGTTGCTATTTTTGTGATATTATTTTTAATTGGTCAGAATGTTTTATACAGGGTGTATAAAAAAAGGAGACCTTTAGAAATCAAGCATATTGTTAAAATTTGAATGCCTTTTCAATTGCATATTACGTAGTGTGTGAAATATTGATGGGGTGCATATATAAGAAAAAGGAGACCTTTAGAAATTGAAATAACGTTTAAACAAAAGATTGTCTGCACCTGGGAACAATCTGCCATGCATACTGTACGTAGATCGCATGTTACGCACTTGTGTGCTTAGCAAAGTGCTCCAGGATTCAAATTATAACAATGGTTGATTTCTAAAGGTCTCCTTTTCCTAATATATGCACTCCATCAATATTTCACGCACTACGGTTCAGCGTATGTGCAATTGAGAAGGCATTCAAATTTTAACAATATGCTTGATTTCTAAAGGTCTCCTTGATACACCCTGTATAATGTTCCGAAGTGCATTTATTTAAAGGATAGCCTTTGATTGGGAACGGATGGTTTGGTTTCATTGTGCACTGGATGTAATTATTTTTTCCTTTATCCTCGTGTTGTTGTAAAGAGGCAGAATCTACAATCGCAACATGGTGTATCTTATGCCTTGACTAGGCAATCCAAACATGGTTCTACATGTTTGGCTCTTCCTTCTACACCATTTGTCAACGATCTTACAGTTTGAGCCGTAGTAGTGGAGATATCCTTTTAGTGGGAGATTTTAATTTTCATGTTAATGATGTAAACAGTGTGTCGGCAAAGAAGTTTAGCAATTTAATTGCATCGTTTGATTATAAAAACCATGTGTTTACTGCCACTCATAAAAAAGGTCATATGTTGGATCTAATATTAACGAGGATTGATTTGCTTCATGCCGATATAGGAAAATCTGCCCTAGTTCAAAGACGTTGCAATTGATACCTTTGCCCTTGTCGACTCCTACAAAAACACACTGCTAACACTATTGGATATGCATGCACCTATTACAAGAAAGCTAAAAACATTACGCCCAGTCACCTCATGGTATACCCGTGAAATTCAAGTGCAGAAAGTCATAAAGAGGCGGTTGGAGCATCGTTGGATAGCTACACAACTAACAGTTGATAGGGAACTATACACCCAAAAGTGCATTGATGTTAACAGGCTCATCTCAAATGCAAAAACCAATTATTATAAAGAGATAAGTAACTGTGTGTCTGATCAAAGAGAACTCTTCAAGGAAATAGAGAGAATGTTTAATGGTCAGTAAAAAGAAAATATCCACCATCATGAGACTCATCTCAACAACTTGCAAATAATTTTGCAGACTTTTTAGGGGATCTAATATGGCACTGACAATTGCTACTTCAAGCAACAGGTCTGTGATATTGGAAGGCACAATTGCTAAACATGAGAGGTTTAATAAAACGTTTACCCTGATGGCTCTGAAGTTAAATCTACTCTTCCTGATGAGCAATGAACCATTCTCTCTTGAAAGATACAAAGATTAACTAGGAAAGCCATACTCTTGCATTACCCTTTTCATTTGTCGGGTAACTGATTTCTTGACCAGTAAGCTTCTGCAACTGCCAAATTCTGATGAATCAGAGATTGATGATCGGGATACTGTTTGTATCTAAAGCTGCAAATGTTGGTATGATTGATTTGTCACAGGAACCATGTACAAGTGCTTCATGTAGCAGCAACCCTGCTCCGGTGTCTGACATTGATAAAATAGAAAACAGTGAAGTTGACATTTTAGCTAGCCCAGAAACATCATCAGTTAGAGTTGAGTGCCCTACTTGCTTTGATTTTTTTGAAATCAGTGAAATTGCTGATCATACTGATTGTTGTGCTGACATTTGGATAGGAGAAGTAGAGCATTGCAATGACTTTGAAAATGTCCCAGGTAGTCCAGATAAAGTACAACAAATACCTGAATTACAGCAACTGCCAGAAGGAACAGTTGAAGAAAATATCAAAAGCATATTGGCAGAACTAGCTGAAACAGAAATATCTGGTCAGGCACGAATTAACACAAGAAGAACATTAATTGTGGAGGGTACTTCCTTCGGGTAGAAGAATTTGCATCAGGAGGTTAGGGTTAGGGTAAGGGTTAGGGTTAGATTAAGGATTAGGCTTAGAGATAGGGATTGGGTTATATCTGATGCCACAAACAATACAACTAGCCAATCATGTGATCAGTTCTCCTCTACCCGAGGAACTACCCAATGTGGAATGATTTCAAGGAAGCCAGAATGAAAAATATAATTAAACCTAATAAATGAAAGTAGTGTTTGCAGGTGAATCTGCTATTGATGATGGAGGGCCCAGAAGGGAATTCTTCTGGTATTATATGCTATCATTTTTCTTTCTTATTATTAGCAATTTGACTAAATTATACAATTCTTATTTTCTAACTTCTGCAGTTTGTTGATATTTGGTGAGAAATACATTAATGAATTCATCTTTGTTAGTATTAGTCCAGTCAAATCACTACAAGGTCCTGATCAAAGTAATCGCAATAGATTTGTTTTCAGTGGTAAAGTGTGAGAAAAGTTGTTCTGATTAACATACTAAAAATAAAAAAAAATCCCTTTGGTGGAACATAGTGAAAATCAAGTTTTTCTTCTACCTATAGAAAACCATTGTGGACAGAATGTTGAAATTTTGAAATCATTTTTAGGCGAATGTAACCTACATTATTGGAAAGCTTAGAAAAAACTAAAATATAGATCATTAAACGGTTATCTTGCTTTTGCCTATCCAGCCAAAGTTACACAAGATTTAAAATGCCACAAATTTGTATTTTGTGCAAATTTTGCACTATTTTTCCAACTTTGAAGCTAGAGTAATGACAAACGGACCAGTAAATTGAATATAACCGTTTAATGATCTATATTTTAGTTTTTTCTAAGCTTTCCAATAATGTAGGTGGTCCGTCAGAGTCATACGCTCCTTCAGCCAAATGTAGTCTTACCCGTAATCGTATAGTTTTGAATATTTAATATAGAAACTGACACTGATATTGATACTTGTACTTGTACTGAATACTATTCGATCTATTAAAGTTATATACAAAATAATTATAAGTAAAGAGTAATAATATAAATGTACTTCTATACATGCCACAAATTCATATAGCAAATCATTGAGTACTATAAATGTCACTTACTTCTTTGGCAGGTTACTAGGACTACATTCAAACAATTTAATACAGAATACAGGTTAGCAGAATAAACAGAATACAATATTACAACAGGTTAGCCTTTTCACATTTTCAGTAGGTCCTTTTGACCGCAGTTCCTAATCTCAATTAATAATGATCTTGAACATGCAATATATGTAAATGTCAAAACTGACAAGATATGTCATTGTCAATAAACTAATTTAAACTAACAGAACTAATATATTAAAATGTACGTAAATTAATTATGCAATTGTTACATCCTGAGTGTCTAACGAAACACTCTCCCGCCCAACGAGGGTACTCTCATTCTTCAGAATCTTCTGCCGGGTGTATAACTGCTATCTTCGTTATCAGTCTGCTGTACTCTCTGCCAGATGTGATGACCGTTACATTCCTCTGACTCGTTTGGCTTTCCCTGGATAAACTTTCGTCACTCGTCCTATTGTCCACTTTTCGCGAACCACGTTGTCATCAGCGACCATAACTACATCGTTAACTTGCACATCACAGGTTGTATTCCATTTCTTTCACAGAAACAAAGACGGGAAAACATCACGTGTCCAGTGACGCCAGAACGAATCAACTATCTTCTGCACTAATTCTACATGCTTACAAGGATTTTTAGTTTCATTAAACGGACCTTGTGGTACTTGTGGCAAGGCTCTTCCGAGTAGAATGTCATTTGGGCAAATGTATACACCATCTGGGTTGTTTGGGATTCTTCCGATTGGACGCTGGTTAACTAGGTTGGCGACTTCAAGCAGGCAAGTGTAAAGTTCGAAGGGTGTCAATGTTGAATCACCAATTGCTTTTTTCAAAGCAATGTTCACGCCCTTTACAAATGCTTCTGCGCAACCATTCTGTTGTGGAGCTCCAGGGGTTGTGGAGCTCCAGTGGTTATGAATCTCCATCCCATTCCCTATTCCGCTGAGAATCCACAGTCCTTTGACCATCTTTCGAAGCTCAGCTACTGCTCCGACTAGTTGTGTACCGTTATCGCTGAGCATGCACTTCGGATAACCTCTCATCGCAAAAAATCTTCTTAAGACTTGAAGAAAATCCATGGTTGTACAATCGGCTGCTAACTCTAGGTGCACTGCTCGTGTGTTGAGCCATGTGAAAATTACACCGTAATTCTTTGTGGTCTTGTTGCGTCCAATCTTTACTTTGTAGGGACCAAAATAATCACATGACGTGAAGTGGAACGGTGGGGTGTGTGGGGCCAATCGTAATTCGGGTAGGTCGGCCATAACTTGGACTTCAGCTTTGGGTTGCATTTCTTTACAAAACACACATTTATGTTTAACAGACTTTGCAAGATAATGTCCTCTTATTATCCAGAAATTTCGTCGAACTTTCTCTGCTGTAGTTGCGACTCCATTGTGACCAAAACTGTGTGACTGGCGGGTAATAAGGAGGGATATCCATCTGGCATAGGGTAGCAACGCGGGGTGTTTTGACTCATAGAATACTGTAGCTTTGTCTGCTCTTCCACCGACTCGGATAACTCCTTCTGAATCTGTAAATGGACTTAATGTCATCAGCTCTCCTTTCTTAATTCGATTGTGAAGATCTTTTTGTGCATCTTTTATCAAGTATGTTTCAGCTTCAGTTTCAAAACATATCCGGTAACTCTGATCAGCTTTCTCCAACTCGAATATTTCTTGGGTTCAATTGGGTTACAATTCTTGGAGGTCTTCACAGCAGTGTTCGAATTAAATATTTAAAAGTGAATAGCGAATTTCTACCCATTGACTCATGCAATAAAAAGTGAATAGCGAATTTCTACTATGTGATTACTGTGTTGCATATACAGTAAAAAAGGTTAAGCATTCGATCTTCAACCAGAAAGGCTGTTATAATAAGAAAGATTAAGCTCTTTTTATTTTTTGGTAGTTGTAACTTGTAAGATTAACGACACAGAAAAGTGAGAAAACGACAGTGTAAAATTAAATAATTCCAATTTCCCGTAACAATTCACGCAATATCTAAAAGACTAGTTTAATGGGTGATTCCAGCTATTAGGGTATAGACTAAATTTTGATCAAGAACGAAATCCAACACCACTGCTAGAAAGAGCATCTTAGAATGTGAAAAACTGCAAAGATTGGTTGCTAAATGATGTAAAATGAAGAAAATATAGCCCTGTGAAGTTCGCAAATTTTGTATATATCTGTATTGTGGGGGTGAAAATAACCACTTTCGGCTGAAAAATGGTTATTTTTCCCGCGCGTAATGCATATATATACAAAATTTGCAAACTTCACAAGGCTATATTTTCCTCATTTTACAACATTTAGCAACCAATCTTTGCAGCTTTACTCATTCTAAGACGCTCTTTCCAGCTATGGTAATGGTTTCGTTCTTCTTGTCTAGATCAAAATTGGGTCATCATCTACCTAATAAGTATACTATCCAGGCTCGTGGTTGGTTGATTATAACAATGAAAGTCAATAAAACTATAGAAATCGTCTTTCTAAAGAACAAGTCACAAACAATGATCATTTTTGTTTCTGAACCAAAGTTAGAGCAAATTACAGGTAAAGTACAAACAAAATACTGTACATAACGTAAATATGGCAAAGCTCAAAACATCGTACATCGCATATACTACACATAATGAATTAAACTAGAAAGTTATTAAACAGTTTGATTTGGGTTTTAAGGTTACATCATATGATAGATTCCTGTTTCAGAAAAATTGTCACTGCGTGCTGAATTTTTTAGTTACGTTTCTCAAATTTGGTACATGCAATGATAACTAACTGTAGAAGCTACTGTTTTAACCAAAATTCACCATGTTTTAACCTGTAGTCGCAATGAGACATCTTTTGAAAAATAGCACCTCCTGCGCCACGAGATTTAACGACAGACCGTTTAACTCAGGAGCTCCCAAAATATCATATTTCTCATCTCAAATGTCCAAAGAAGAAAAGTGTGTTCGCATTTTTTGACAGCTATTGTATTCGCTTTGATATAAAGCGGACAACTTGACTTATCTTGCGCGGGTATAAGCTGTTGAAGAGATGCTTCTAAATTGAAAAATAATGCACTAAATCGAAAACGCGAACACACTTTAGTTCCTTTATTATTGATTAACATTGTGGTCAAGTTTGGGACGAATTGGATAAAACGTTCTGTCGTTAAACTCTTTTTTGTCGAGGAGATTGGGTAATTTTGCTTTGTCTTCAAATGACCATATAAGATTTGGCGAGGTTTCCATTCTTTCTGTCATTTCTCTGCCCCCAATGTTAATCCACTTGTGGCCAAACCACAAAGTGTGAACTTTGCTGGCGTCAAATATCAAGGTGTGAAATTCACTAAAGTATAAGTTATTGTTCGGAGGCATATATCACTGCGACAACATTAGAATTTAGAAAGCTTATAATATAGTATTTACAGAGTCTCTCGAAGTTCAAGTTATGCGCGATGTTGGCTTCAAGCTATGCGCGATGTTGGCTTCGGTGACTTTTCAGTCTTTCCTACTGCGTTAGTGCGTTTGCGTTTGGGCTTAGACCGGTTCCTTACTAATTGTATTTAACCGCAAGAGGTCAGACTGACAATTCGAGTCAATCATAATTACAAGTTTTGTGTGAAGCTATTCAGTGGTCATAGCATGTTCCCCTATATCTTGGTCGCTTTTTATCATTTTCTTAAAAAAGTTGCTGGAATTGATAGATATATCATTACTTAATATAACTATATAAAAAAATTTTTTGGACAAAATCAGAGTCTCATCATATATTGTAAACTTAAACCCAAGTGATTGTGAAAATTCAAATCTGATTGTAGTTGTGTGAACAAGTAACATGATATTTGACCTTTCCTAAGAGGATTTTGACACATTTTTATACTGTCAGCCTATCATTATTAAAACATCAAATCAAAACACAGCTTGAGGCCATTAGGAAACGAAACAGAATTCAGATCAGCGCAAATGAGAGAATGTTTCACCTCAAAATACACAAAGAATTGTTTGAAAACAAACGTTTCCAATGTTATCCATTTTACTTTTTCACATGTGAAATCTTCTCAGGTTGAATAGTGATTTTTTTATATTACTGCATAGCAAAATGAGTAGCGAAATCCCAAAAACGGACGCGATTCGCTATCTGTTAATTCGAACCCTGCTTCACAGTGCCGATGATCTTGCAGGCTTCTTTGGATGCTTCTTTATCGTCAACCTCCGATAAATCTTGTGGCCAATCCTCCTGTGGCAAACGTAGAAATTCTGGGCCATGCTGCCATCTTTCATTTAACTCGTAAACTGCTATCCCCCGAGATACATCATCAGCCACATTTGACTCGCTGGATATGTGTCTCTGGGATCACTGTTGCTCTGGATTTCTCCAACTCTTGAAGAAACAAACTGCTTGTAAACTCGAGATGTACTTTGTATCCATGTCAAGACAATTTTACTGTCAGTGAAATAGATTATTTCACAGGGGGCAGAAAAGTGTGATTGTGTTTTATAAATACCTTGTCATCAACCAGTATCACATACTTATATCACAACAATTCGCAGACAAAATCATAAACAGATCAACAGTAGCTGATTTTTATATTTTCAATAATATCATGCCTTCTACTTCATGTAATTCAAACATTGCATTGCAACGACAATTTCCGAACATCTTACGAAAGGATGCCGAGGGTGTAGCCCGTACATAAATAAGAAAGGGATGAAACACCGAAAATCTTTCGTTCAATGTGCACTGCAACAGATGATGATGGAAGTTAACTCGACATTGTAACCGGAAGTAGAACAGAAGTTGAAGGAAAATTGACCTTTCATCTTCCATGACCTTTTAATGGAATTGACGGTTTTAATAATTTCAGGGCTCGAAATAACGGCCGATCAATGATCGGCAGGAAATTGTTTTTGATCGGCGAAGAAGCAAGGTTGCCGTTCATCTTGATCGGCAAGAAATATATTTGACCATTGCCTGGAAGACATGCTTATCTGTACGTGGCAAAAGACAAATAAAAGTAATATAAAACACGCGAAAAGCTCTTGTTTAGTTGATACGAGTCATACGACAGGAAAGGCCGCAATACTATTCTCGCTAAAGTAATCTCCTATAAAAAATTTGCGTGAGGTATTGTCAGGATTTTTTTTTGAGTGGGATTTTTTTTTTAGTAGGATTTTCTCTTTTAATATTAAATAATAAGTTTTAGTAATCTTAATTGATAATGCTGCTGTGTTTTTTGCTTTTGTGTGAAAAAATGCAATATAATTATAAACTATATAATTAAAACTTAAAAAGTGTTATAATAAATTTTAAGTTTAATACACGTTATAATGAAGTCACACTATTAGTATTGTATATATATGTCCACAAATGTCGTAGATTTAAACTTGAATTTGAAATAAAGTTAAACTTCCTGTTCAGATGTGTATTTAGTATTTATACTAGCATATTTATAATTTTTTTCCAAAAAACTCACGCAAATGCTCCTGAGTCCTGATCAGTCAGATTTTTATTTGATCGGCAAACGTTGGGAAGGTTATTTCGAGCCCTGGAATTGAACAATAACAAATTTTTTAAAATATTGCAAAATTTAAACTCAAATATGGAACGTTTTGTCACAAAAAGAAATGTAAATCACCCGTTTCAAAAGCAACACACGTTCTTGGTCTTGTATCTACAATCAGTTTCAAATGTGTTGGGACAGATGCAACAAAACACTTTAATTTTAACAAATGTCGATCTCCCCCGCCCCCTATTCAATGTTGTGTGCCATTGTTCTTCAAGTTTGATGAGTATTGGTATTCGAATCGAGAAAACAACATTGATTGGGGAGGGGGAGGGGTGCGGTATTGTGTGTAACAAACTGTATAGATTGATTTACGTCTTAAAACTGCATGTGTCCCAACAACTTTTGAAAGTGATTGTCTGAAAGGCATATATGACCTACTTGACTTACAGAGCATTTCACACAGTCGTTTTTACGAAATTCATATAGGATTTACTGTAACATAATTACTGAATTGCATTGGCAAATGTAATGTTTTTACTGTGCTTGTTATTGTCAATAAGTTTGAAATCTAACATAATACAATTGTACATTAGAAATTAACTTATCAACAGATGTCATATATGCAGAGGAAGGTATATCGAGAGATACTTTATTAATAGTGGTCTATGCAAGAAATAAATGCACATTTATCTGGTTAATTAGCGACCTAGATTATTTCTAAGTAGAATGCAAGGGGTGGTTCATGGAGACCACTTAAAAATTGTGCACATATGACGCAATTGTCAAACGTGTGTGGGGGTGTGCGCCGTGCATCATCAATGCGCGTGTGTGTCACGCGTATAAGTGTAATTCTTTGATAGTTTTGCTGAGCTTTATTCTCGCTATGGGGTTTTTGAAAAAGATATCTGAAGAAACACTGGCTCTTGTTAGGTTTTTGGGTATGGAAAAAAAATATTCGATCCGCGAAATTGCGAAAAAGGCTAAAGTTTCTAAATCGACTGTGGCACGATATTTGAAACCACCAAATGAGACCAGACAGAAGTACAGCAAAGGCGCAAATATGGGGCGACCCAAAACGTTATCAGTTCGTGATGTCAGACATTTAAAACGCAGTATAACTAAGTTGCGTAAAGTAAATCCGAATTTTACATTGAAAGAGCTTATTCGTTTTAGTGGTCTTCAATCTTCAGGAGCGTCTTACTCAACCTTCTACAGAGAGATTAACAGCGCGGGATTCAAATACTTGAACGCAAGAAAGAAAGGGCTACTTAATCATCGCGATTGTAGGAAACGGTACAAATTTGGGCAAAAATGTCGAAAAATTTTGAAGATTCAGCCAAATTTATTCCATTCCAAATTTATTCCATTCATTTTACTTGGATGGAGTGTCATTTGTATTTAAGCGACAACCAATGCAAGATGCAGCTGCGCCAAAGGGTAAAATATGGCGGACAAGGTCCGAAGGACTTTGATTAACAAGTAAGGGTTCAAAAGACTTACCAGGGGGTAAACGATTACATGTTCTTGTGGCTATTGCATTCAATAGAGGCGTTGTCCTTGCTAAAGAATATGAGCATATGAGTGGGGAATACTTCAGTGGTTTCGTTAAGAGGAATTTGTCCACACTCTTTACAGCCGAAAATCAGCAAAAGTGGTTTGTTATGGATAATGACCCTTCACAGAGAAGCAAAGTGGCTAAGAAAGCTATAAACGATTCTGATGCAACATTATTTGAAATCCCTGCGCGTTCGCCAGATCTTAATCCCATCGAGAACTTATTCCACATAGTGAAAAAGCAGCGCGAGAGTCAAGCTATCTCGGAGTGCATATATCAAGAAACGTGGCCTGAATTTAAAGCAAGAGTGCGTAAAACTATACTCAAAATATCACCTACTTATATTAACAATCTTTTATTAAGCATTCCCAAACGCATTGATGATGTGATTAAATGTAAAGGATTCAGAACAAAGTATTGACGATATGATATAATAAAATATATATATATATGTAATATAAGATGCTTTGAACATGTGCTCGACTGACACGCGATTGTCACTTTATTCACAGACCATTTGCAATGATTTAGCCTTAACATTTTACAGCAAAATAATTTTTGGAACATTTATTATTAAGGAAAAGTGTCGAGGGAGCATGCATTAATATATTACGGGTTCTACTTAATCACAAAATATATAAAAATTGTAAAAAGTTATCGATTGACACTCAACTCTAGAAATCACTATATGATACTCAAATATATTTATATAAAAAGTGACAATCGATCCAAAACTGGGTTTCCTCACTTTTATATATAATTAAACCATTTAAAAACTAGCTAACACAATGTTATACATTGTCAACATATTATTCTCAGCCTTAGTCTGTTTTAAAAGTTTTTTTATTTGCTTGTTATTTCATATTGCTAAAGTGACAATCGATGTGTCAACCGATGGTAGTTGGATTGCAATAGTCTGATCCGCAAAAGCTTATTAGCATAATTGCCGTCTAGCGCATATCGCTAACATTGTGTTGTCCTAAGTTAATGAGCAGTGTTGTTTATGACAAGTTTCGCAAAACATGAATTACATGCTTTAATCTCCTTCTGTTCGTTTTGAGGTATTTGCCGATGCAACTGAAAGGTGTGCCATCTAACTTGCATCATTTCGGTGTTAATCCGGTCAATCGAGCCACCCTTGATAAGTGCAAGTGGGGCATCGCTTGTTGCAAAGAACGGTGTATCTTTATCTAGGACAATGTCCTTGTTCATCACATTTTTGGGTGCAGGGAAATGAACAGTATCGCCCTCGAGTACTTGCAGCAACTCACACCAGGGTATTAGTCAAGGCTTCCAGCGGAAGTCGTTTAATTAACAAGACTACCCTCTGCGTTCTCAATTCCAAGCCACGCGAAAGTTCCGGATGTATGAAGCATTCGAAGATCTTTTTGAGTGGAGACAGAAGGAAGGTTTTGCCACAATTTGCAGGGCCATATATGTATACGTTACGGTATTTTCCTCTGCCGCGTTTTAAAGCATCATGAAGAGCAGATGAAAAATCTTGTATACCGATGCCATTTAAAACTAAAATTTCTTTGGCAGCTGATAACCACACCCCTTGGCAACCATCAACACATGCGCTTGCCGCACTCTCTTGCAATAACTCAATTCTTGTTTTGTTTGCTCTTTTCAGTCTTTCCTGCGCTTCGTTTAGCTCCTTGGCTGTTTCCATAGCCTCATTCACAATTTTAGGACCTCTGTTGGCAACAAACTCTGCCAGGTCTGTTTTTCCCTCTTCTTGCCATTTCGCAGCCAGGGCCATAAGCTCCAGACGAGACTGTATTTGTTTTGTTTGTACGATACGTACAACGTCGTACACGGCGAGTCGCTTTCGTTTCTTTTTTTTGGAAACCTTTGCTGCTTTCTTTCTTTGTGATGTCACCTTTGTAGTGGGTGGCAGGTCAGCATTGGAGAGGTCTGGATGCCCTGGAGAAAGCACGAAGTCCGGGTCTTCCTTTACCACGTACGAATACGCTGTATAATAATTTTCGTGACTATCTGAAAAGTTCAACTTGATGCCATATTTAGTATCTACTAACTTTCGGATGGCTCGCCACCTCGATGTTGCCGTCAATTTTATAGCCATGTGGAAGTGACTACGACCATTTTCATGGGCCTCCAAACTCACCACCCACTGACCGATCCTTGATCTGGAGCGCAAATGCCATGCGTCAACAATTATATTTGCAAATTCTGCTCGTGAAAGTTGTCACATTGACTAAAAGTGATTAAATAAACGCTCCTTAGCTTTGGGGTACCCGAGTTAACTGTTGACTCAGCCATTGCTCGCCTGCGAATAATAACCGGATGCTATATTACTATGCTGTAAACTAACACTAAGTATGATATATCTGACCTAAAACAGTTGCGATACCTGTCTTTATTGACAGATTAGAACATTTCAAATAACCCACTTGTACTCTAGCAAGATTTGTAAAAACAAACAACACATAAAATATTTGTGATTAAAAATGACATATGAAATAAAATATTTTTTCATATTCTGTTAATTATTAACTTTCTGAATTGCAAAGAAGCATCATTGTTTTAAAATGTTGTATTACATATATTATGCTTTAAAATGGAGCTAAAATACTATATTCTTGGACCATTCTGTCACCTATATTTTTGAGATATGTTAAATGTTATGGGATATGGGGTTCAGACAATCAGTTTCAAATGTGTTGGGACAGATGCAACAAAACACTTTAATTTTAACAAATGTCGATCTCCCCCGCCCCCTATTCAATGTTGTGTGCCATTGTTCTTCAAGTTTGATGAGTATTGGTATTCGAATCGAGAAAACAACATTGATTGGGGAGGGGGGAGGGGGAGGGGTGCAGTATTGTGTGTAACAAACTGTATAGATTGATTTACGTCTTAAAACTGCATGTGTCCCAACAACTTTTGAAAGTGATTGTAGATGGTATAAAGCTTTTCAATAATTTTAAAACAATTGTTCTTGAATCGATCAACTGTGAATATATCCACAACTTTGAACTTTGTCTATGACTGCATGTAATCCAAACGGCAGTCTTTACACAAACCGGTCATGATTTAAACTCATCTTCGGCGCGTGTGCAGACTTGAGATATATCAATAGACTATTTAAATTCAAAAATAAACTATACATGTACTTATCGTGTGGAAAAAATGACAGTAAATAAATAAACTCTGAAAAGGTTTCGTTAATTTGGTTAATATAGACCTTTTTGTAGTATGAATACCGGTGCATTTTGGCTTGTATTTTGTAGGCTTTGCATGAATTATCACTGTAAGTGACAATTCTTTCAATAAGTGACAATCCAATTCAACGCAAATTCAATTCAGTGACAATTTATATGAGCATATTGTTATTTTGAAACTGTATACTAATCTTAAAAATACTGTATGAATGAGCCTGTAATATATTATATGATTAATCTGAATCAGTTGGAAAAATAGTTTGTCATGCGCAATATCTTTTAAGTGCGTAACTATGTCACTTCCGTCACCATCTGTTGTGGTGCACGTTGAAACAAAATAAGCCAAAATTGTAGTCCCAAAAAATTCGGTTTAATAACCGTTTCTTAAAATTTCTTGTATAGGTATGCTAAGTGTACCATATCTAAACTGTACACAAAAAATAAAAGGTTTTGGTTCAGAAACACGCCAGTTATACTACCCTGTGAGCAGAGCCTTATTTTCATTTCTTCGGCGAGGGGGAAAGGAGAAAATAAGGCTCTGCAGTATTCGTGTTTTGCTTCGTCCAAGATTCTGGACGAAGCAGACCTGTTTAACCAGTTTATCCGGTATTTAATGCGCGCGGCTGAACCAATGACTAAATGCGAGCCAGTGACATAGCCAACAAAACGAAATGGCCGAAATCGATCTATACTTTATATACGAGTTTGTTGCAAATGAGTCAGGTTTTGGCATTTACACACAAAAACCAAAGAGAGTTTTGTTTGAAATTTGATAACATCTTCAAAATACCTTACGTTTAATATCATTCTACAATTTCGCACGAGCTTGAAGTCTTGAACGGATAAGCGGATCAAATTATGGTGAATTTTGATTCGCTAGTAATAAAGGCGGACGTCTGCGAAGACAGGTCTAAAATTTCATATGGCTGTAACTAGGCAACCGACAGAGCATGCGCAATGGAAGCAAAACACGAATACTGCAGAGCCTTATTTTCTCCTTTCCCCCTCGCCGAAGAAACGAAAATAAGGCTCTGCTCACAGGGTATATTTGTATGTGTAAGCAAGTCAATCGTTCTAGTATGAGCCCATGCTACTATGGTCAGTCTTTGTAATACAATGTTTGAATTACATGAAGTAGTGGGCATGATATTATCGAAAAAATTTTAAAATCAACATAATTTTCATCGTGATGAAACCTGGATGAAACTATGCGATATATAGGATGCAAGAAATTGCCGACCTAAAAGCGATAATTCTCAATCTAGGTCGGCAAATATTTTCAAAATAAATGCAAATACGTGTATTTATAAACAGCAATTAATGGTAATAGCAAACAAAACAACAAATAAAATGTATGAACTCCAATCAAACAGTGCATGCATGTTGTGACCAAATGTTGTGACATACAAGTACACTACTATATTACCATGCTTTACTTTCTCAAGATTAAATCTTGAAGCTCGACGATTTTACGTATGTTTACTTTTCAAAGTTTTCAAATGATCAAAACCTGATAATCACACATTTTCAACGATGATGTTTTATGTGAAAGATGTATTCGTGGAAAAAAATGCTGAGACGTATGTAAAAGTAGGTTGGCAAAATTTTGCCGACCTAAATGTACACATATCGCTTTGTAGGTCGGCATTTAGGTCGGCATTGCCGAATGCCGACCTGAGTTTCAAGGACTGGGTCACAGATTGACTGGACTATATGCCAGACAATATGCCATTAACTCAAAAAGGGAGTTGCTATTTTTGGGGCTGCCTCAAAATTTCAACACCCCTGCATAAATCATCAGCTAAAAGTCTCAACCTCTTCCCTCCCCCCAAACCCACCCCAATGTATGCAAAGCTCTTTTTGTGCAAGATGATCATAGTGAAAGTGCTGTTGATGCTAATTACCTGTTTTCAATAATGAATCCAGAATTTTCAGAAGCAGGTAGCACACAGAAAGAAATTGAAGAATCGATTATGGATTTCCTCCAGGATTTCTTGTTTGGTCTGGAAGATAAGCCATGTGTTTCTGGTTACGCACAGGCACTTGCAACCAGTGACGATGATAGCGCAGGTGCCGAAGGCGAACAGGAACAGCTAGTACTCTCTCCAGATTGCACTCCTGCAGGAATCATGGGATGGCTGGCTTACTGGCCAAAAACACAAACCTCTCAATGAAGAACCGCTTACAGTTAGATTCAATTATGATTGTGCTATGCATAATCCAAACCATTGCATCTACTGTCCAACAGTTGGAGCTTGTGCCAAAGAAATTTCATTTCCCGTCGCTCATATGAAGACAGCTGAGGAGTTCAATGAAGTTTTTATGATGGCTATCTCCAAAGGACAGACTTTTGAAAAAGCATGAGCAATTTAACATGTGGATGAATCAGTAATTCACAAAAAAATGATGGGACATCAAAAAGCCATAGATCAAGTCCCTGCCGTATTTGCTGGCACAGCACTCCGGAAGTTTCATTCTTTGTTTGCAATGACGTAAATTTGGGATTTCAGTTGACGGGCAGCTTTAACAAAAAACGGCTATGTCAAGGTATTGATTGAGTTTAGAGACAGTTTAGAACTCAAAAGAAGAATTACTGTTCAGTTATTCTTGCTACAGCCATTCTGATAAGAGAAAAATTGTCCACAAGTTGTTTGATTGCCCATCAATTGCACGAAACATCAAAAGGTTGCAAACAAAGAATTTTGTAATGTGCTTTTAAGTGTCATATTAATAGGATCCATATTGTTTTGGCTTTATTAATAAATAAACAAATTGACATGCGAAAAAGGGAATAAACCAAGGTGATCATGATAACTTTTAAGTACAGGTACCCCTGTACCGGTACAGTAGTACAACTAGGAATGTATAAACAGTAGATTCTTTAATTGCATGCTACAGTAACATTGTTGAGTTTCTGATTTTATATTAAATGATGACTGGAATCACCAGTACAGTCCTACAACTGGGAATGTATAAACAGTAGAATATTTAATTGCATGGCACATTAACATTGTTGAGTTCACAGTGGTGACTGGAATCTGGTAACTTATTATCCTACATTTTAGTTCATTCATATTTAAATAATGTTGTTTTCTGTTGCTTTTACTGTTTCCAAGTTTGACTTTATTTTTCTCATTTACAGTAGCCTACAACCATTTGGTCAGATAAACAAATCGCAACATCAACAAATGTAACATATACAGTTTACCTTGTATCTGGTTTTATTAGTAATCAGGCCAAAGTTGGCATGATAGTGTTGGGTATAAACCATTGATCAGTGGTACACATCTCAATATTATCATAACTATTGGAGCTATTTATTAATTGATCAGTTGCATAGACAGAACTTGCAGAAAAATATAACATTAAACAATAAGATGCTTGTGTGATGTTACTCTGAGTGTATATCCGCACCAAGCAGGCTTGAAAAATATGCCTGGCCATGGTGGGATTCAAACCTACGACCTTTGGAATACTAGCCCAATGTTCTGCCAACTGAGCTATGCAGTCAGGTCGGTTCGAGTATGCGATACTTCGGAACGAGTCTAATTCCTTCAATATCAGTGTAATCTAATAACCATATCTGCTGTGTTGGTGTTGTGTACTCAGGTGAATAAGATGCTTGTGTGATGTTACTCTGCTAGTATTCCAAAGGTTCTAGGTTCACATCACACCGTGGCATATTCTTCAAGCCTGCCTGGTGTGGATATACTCTCAGAGTAACATCACACAAGCATCTTATTCACCTGAGTACATTACACCAACCAGCAAATATCATTGAACAATAAGCTATCAAACATGGCACATATGATACAAAACCAAGGAAGAATTCAGTCATTAAAACAATGCATTCTACAATCCTGGTCAAAAATCCTTGGCGCACTTAGTCGAAATAGCATTACCTTTACTTCATTTCTGATTACCACATACATACTTGCCCATTTTATGCAAAATTTCATGTCCAAACACCCCCTATCCCCCTTATCAATGTTGTGTAACACCTTGGACGTATAACACACTACACACAACATTGAACGGGGGAAATGGGGGGTTGCTATGCTTGTTATTGATGTGGGAGTCAAATTTCGCACAGTCAGTGTCAAGTGCGCCAACATTATTGACCAGGATTGTCCGAATATAAAAATGGAACTAAAATTTATGTACATATATAATTTTGACTCAGAATATACCAAAGCATTATTTACGTGTTTTCTACGTATATTGGGTGGCGTGTTCTAGATGATTTCGTTGGGAGTTATTGAAAACCTATCGTACGCGTCGTAATGTTGATAATTATGACGTCATATGTGGGGGTGTTACTATGAATCATTTATTATTTATTTATTAACTTCACAACCATACATAAAATAGACTAAAACACTACATAATATGGTTGAAGGTATGGTCAACAGGACATGAATAGCCCCATATGAAGACCAACCTTAATGAAAACAAACTATAACAAACATAAATCAAAGACGATAACAAATATAAAATTTACAGAAAACATGACGAATTACGAACAACAGCTTAAGTTGAAAGAGCGGCACTTAGAACAGAAGGTTTTCCAAGTGCGCATTCTGTTTACATCGAAAGATGAATGAAGTAGAGAAGAGTAATGAACAGTTAGTCTGTTTTTAAAGGAGGAAACGGATGAACTATTACGAATGGTGGGAGAGAGATTATTCCAGAGAAAGACAATTCGGTTGAAAAAAGAGTTCCTAAAGAGAGAAGTCCTGCAATGATTGACACGAAGCAAGTTGTCCGAACTTGAACGGGTGTGAGACGAGCTGTTTGAAGAAAAAGTGACGAAAGAGGAGATATCTAGGTCGAAGAGACCGTGCTTACATTTAAAAAAGAAGACGAGATCCTTTAGTTCCATCCAGTAGGATATTGGTAATAAATTAAGCTTTTTAAGGCGTTCAGGATATGGCAACTCATAATCCTGAAGGATATATTTACTAGCTCGTCTTTGAACACCCCCGACGATCGCAAGATCACGTGACGATCCTTGAGGTGCCCAGATCTCACTACCATATGACAGATGAGATCGGACGAGAGCAAGATAAAGGAGCCTACGGCAGCGAATATCAGACATATGCGTACAATTCCTACGAAGAAAACCAAGCATATGATTGGCTTTTGCAGTGCAGCTGGCGATGTGAGGGGACCACTTTAGGTCATTGCTGATAACAACACCCAAGTCTACTTGGTTAGCTATGCTCTTAACTGGATGGTTGTTAAGAAAGTAGCAATGAGTTGGAGGGTTACGTTTGCGGGATATCCTAAGTAGGAACGTCTTCGAGACATTAAATTTCATTTTCCAGTTAAGTGACCAGTTGGACATAGCGTCCAGGTCGAGCTGAAGGAGACCACGATCAACTGGTGATCGTATAGCACGATAACACTTGCTGTCATCAGCAAAAAGTGCAACGGTACTATTATTGGTTACCTCGGGAAGGTCATTTACATAAAGAATGAATAAAAGTGGACCTATTACACTACCTTGTGGCACCCCAGAGGTAACATTAAGAAAAGATGAGGAAGCTCCTTCAACGACAACACACTGTTTGCGATAATCCTGATAATCCTGTGTATATAAAATCAGGCTGGCTACAAAATAAAATTGAATAATATGCATTTCAATAATTAGATTAATTTAAGGATGATTTAGACAAGAAAAATCACAGCAAAGACAAGGGCTTTGGTACTTTATTATAGAAAGCAATTGGGTTTTTCGAATGTCAAGTCGAGTAGATGCTGTTCTTAAAGCAAGAGGAAATACCATAAAATATTTAGGAGTTCTATCTTTTACTGTTATATATAGTAATTCAAGGCAGAGTAAGGGCAGTATAGATCAAAATAGGTATAGCTATTTTCGAAAATAGGCAATTAGCTTGCTGTCAACAAGTAGATTAAATGCTAAGTACAATTACAGGTCTTCACAGCGCGACTCCAATGGTGCAGCAACGCAAAATTACAAACAGTGTTCCCTTGATATTTCCTAATTACTTGCCAAGGATGCAAAAATTTTTGTTTTTGGATACACAAAGTGGTTTCCATTACTTGAATAAATGCATTTATTAATTTTAAATTCTTATTTAGGTCATTTTTGCTAAATTAAGATCAGTACTCCACAATCCTAGCTTAAATTCCTTGACTATCTCACTGAATTCTTTAGGAAAATGGGGAGCACTGTTCAAAATCATGCAAGATATAGTTATAATTTATTTATTTCAAAACAAATAAGTTAACCATTAAATATCATTACCAAAAATCGTTATATTTTTGGCAAATATTAAAATTTAATAGATTTACAATTAATTTTTTGATGGAGTAATGTATGGACCTACGACTTTATGTTATGCATATCTGGGCGTGAAATATTATAGGTTGTAAGTGCTTATTATGTCAATGACTAATGCGATTTAATTATAACTTGGTATCTAAAACAAACTTAGCAAAGCAATGTCCACATGGTATTCAGTCGTCAAATGTAACTTGTGAAATATATAAAAGACCACAAATTACGGCTTAAATACTTGTTTCCATCTGATTATATTTTTCAAAATGTGCATGCACGTGCCCATAATGTTGTTAGATTAAGTATGATTAAAGTGAAAAGACAAAAAAGGATATATGTATCAAATGTATTTTTAAGAAATAAAAATAAAAGTGTAAGATAATGCACATTCAGACAATCCTGGTCAAAAATCCTTGGCACACTTAGTCAAAATAGCATAACCTTTACTTCATTTCTGATTACCATATACATACTTTATGTACTATTTAAAGCACGCGTAGGAGTGTTTTATCACATATAAAACACGACGCGTAGCGGAGTGTTTTATATGTGATAAAACACGACTACAAGTGCTTTAAATGGCTCTAAAAAGTAACCAGTATCATATCGAAATCGATATTCACAGTATCACCCACCCCTACAAAATACTAGTGTGTAAATATAGTGGTGCCAGCAGGTGCCATAAAATATGAGATAAAACAAGGTTTAATGATTACACCAAAGACCAAATTTGGCCAGGAGTGTAAGGAATGGGAGATTCCTTTCATGAAACCATACAACTTAACATTAGTAGACATGCATAATATAACGTTAGATATTTCGAAGTAACTTCTTTCCACATTTTTTCATTTTATGAATATGAAAGTCAAATATCAGCCTTTTTTGTTTAAGCTAAGAAAATTTCGATCTAATGCAGAAAATTCACCAAAATATTAACACAAAACTTACCTCATTTTCGATTCAAATTCCCGCCATCTTGAAAAATACAATAATAATGCATTGCGGTTGTAGTGCAACCACCACCTGATGCACATTAGACTTTAGAATATGTTATGTTGTCATACAACAGGACTACATATTATGTAAAAATCTAAGTTGAGCTTTACTTGAACTGCAAACAGTAAGATGACAAAATAAACGCACTATTCACGTTTATTCAAGACATGCTATTAAGTATTATATATCAATTTTGCCAAATCGAGCATAAGCACAGTTGCAAAAAGCTACAATCTTGGCCAAAAGTTCTAATAATAATCAAGAGAATAGAGCTTGTGTAACAACAAAAGCGAGAAGGAAATACTGCATTAGCAGAGTTAATTGCGAATAAGGGGGAAAATGCTGTTGATGATGCATTGGTAGTTGCTAAAGAATTTGACGAAGCAGAAAAAAGCCTGCAAGAATGCAAAAATCGCGCATTGACCTACTGACTGAGGCAAAGGAAGAAGGAAAATGCATTGAAGGTTGTGAGGAAAAATCGTTACTGGCTGCAGAACAGTTGTAAGAGAGTAATTCAATAACACGTCAATTGTTCGGTGATGCCATCTATATTCTGCTTGAAAAAGGCAGGGGAAAATATCAGAACATATATATCCATGGTCCTGCCAACTGCGGAAAAACGTTTATATTGTCATCTTTGAAAACCAGCTATGGGCACGTTTGCATGGATGGGGGCTGATGAAGCTGAAATCATTTATCTAAATTATGTCAGATGGAGCCCAACAGGATTGCATGGGCTGATTTATTACAAGCCCTGGAAGGCGACGTTGTTCATCTATCCACGCCTGGGAATTTTTGTTGATGTCAGACGCCCCACTGGTACTAATTAAAGCCGGAAGTCTTGATCGTACAAACATTGAAATGATGAATGTGCACTTGAAGTTCTTCCACCTCTCTAGAGCAATTCCACAGGCTTCACAAAACCGCCGGGCTTTCTTTATTCAATTATTGTGACACTCAGTACTATTTATTTATTTATTTATTTATTATAAAATTACATGCTCCCGAAAGGGCTTTTCTGCATACAATTACAATAAAAAACTAAAAATATGCTATTATATACATGCAGTTAAAAATGGTAGATAGGTACAATGTTCAATTATTTAAAATGTGTTTCTTTACTTCAGATTTAAAATGTTTGACATTTCTCAATGATTTGATTGTATTAAGCAGGCTGTTCCAATGTTTAGTTGTGCGATAATGAGAGAAGTTTTTGACCATAGTTTGTATTTGATTTTGGAATTTCTAGATCTTTACTGGACCTGGTAGAATAATTGTGGATGGTATCTCACAGGTAGAATTTCTCGCTCGTGTACGGCGGTGAAAGATCGTTCATGCACTTGTATGTTTGCACAATGTCTTTGTATACAAGTGTTTAGTCAACAGCCATCCATTTAAATTCTCTTAAGATGGATGTAATGTGGTCAAACTTGCGCTTGTTCGAAATAACATGAGCTGCAAAATTTTGGGTACTTCCTCGGGTAGAAGAATTTGCATCACAGATTACGTCATCAGTTAGTTATAGTGATCAGTGTTGAGGTTAGGGTTAGGGTAAGGATTAGGCTTAGAGATAGGGTGTTTCGTACCCTCGTCGTGGGGCACTACTTTATGCGAAACATCACAACAGACAGGCGAATAATCTTTTAATTCTGTACTAGTTACAACTCATGTACAGGCGATATAATAATAGATAGTTCAATACTTTAGACACTTTAGTATTCAACAAATATATGCCGTGTATATATTGACAGAGTCAACTAGAAAAAAAAACAGAGTAAAACTCCAAGTTAATAAATATAAACGTTCTAAGAACAGCAATTTCGTGGATTATCCGTCCGTCAAGTTCACGATAATGTTAAATATTTAGATTTTTCTTTCTTGATATTTTAGACACGCTTTCTAGTTAAAATCTAGCTTTTGTATTACCCTCAACTTGAAGGTAACCCCCTAAAATCAGGCACAAAGTCCAAAACACTCCACCCCAGTGCGGAAATCAAGATCTCTATGAAGCTTAATTGAGCAACTATAACATAATCAACATAACATTAACTATAATACAGTATGAGTAACGAGTCCATCAACACAGTCTTCCTATCTCTCTTCTCTGTTTAATTCTTCTTTAGTTGCGATGAGGCAAAGCTTGTGAATGGGTCTATTGTATTCACCATTTTCCGTCTTGATTCGAACTTTTCTAACAGGATTGTCATTTCCTGGGTAGGTGTCGATAATCACCGCCATTTTCCATTGAGATCTTCTGTGCTTGTTGTCGAGTTCCAGAACCAAATCACCAACTTTGACATCTTCCCTCGTTCGAAACCATTTGTTCCTTGGCAAAAGGTTAGGTGTGAAGTACTTGATCCAGCAGTTCCAGAATGCGTTCACTCTATCCTCTGTACTTCTTAGCAAATCTCTAGGATTGATCTTTTCTTCGGACTCCGGTTGTGGAGGTGAGTTGTGTGATCCGATGAGAATGTCGTTGGGTGTGATTGGCGGGCTTTCCCAAACACGCTCTGAACTTGGATATAGAGGCCGGCTGTTGATTAGATAAGTGGTTTCTGCAAGAAATGTACGCCATTGCTCTTCTGTGAAGGTTTGGTTCTTACATGTGGCATCCATGGCCTGTCTCACCGATTTGATCAGAGATTCCACCACACCGTTCTGGTGACTCGCATGCGGTGTATTCCACTGCCACTTGAACTTGCAGGTAAATTCGTTAGAAAGAACACTCTGAATTTTTGGAATGTTCCAATTCCGCATAACTTCATCGAGATAACTTTGAGTGCCAACAAAATTGGTACCACAATCAGACCAACACGTGCTTGGATGGCCACGTAGACTGGCAAAACGCCAAAATGCTAATAAGAACGTGTCCGTACTTTTGTCGCTAACGAGCTTTTGTAGTCATGCAAGCGAAGGTAATGACTTGTGCTTCCTTTAGTGTCTTTCGACCCAATCTAATGTGAAACGGACCGAACATATCTATGGCAGTGTTCGTAAACGGAGGAAATCCTGCAGCTACTTGTAGGCTTGGTATTTGCCCCATGATTTGACCAAGGGGTTTCTTGTGTAGCTTGTGGCAAACAACACATTTGTTGGCGAGATATTTCGCCATGCCACGAAGTCAAATGATCCAAAATTTTCTTCTCGCCTCGTGCATCAGTCGTTGGTATCCACAATGACGATTTGTTTGTGATTTCTGGGAAGAAGAATCGGGTTTCGATTTTTCTTGCAAGGTAGGACTTTCGAGGACGGTCTGTCGCTTGTTTCTTGCAGTTGGTTGTCCTTGATTTTCCCTTTGTTTGCAGTTCTGTGATCTTTCAAATGTTAGAAATTTTGACTGTTTCGTACCCTCGTCCTGGGGCACTACTTTATGCGAAACATCACAACAGACAGGCGAATAATCTTTTAATTCTGTACTAGCTGTAACCCACGTACAGGCGATATAATAATAGATAGTTCAATACTTTAGACACTTTAGTATTCAACAAATATATGCCATGTATATATTGACAAAGTCAACTAGAAAAAAAAAACAGTAAAACTCCAAGTTAATAAATATAAACGTTCTAAGAACAGCAATCTACTGCTGTACTTACAATTTTGTGGATTATCCGTCCGTCAAGTTCACGATAATGTTAAATATTTAGATTTTTCTTTCTTGATATTTTAGACACGCTTTCTAGTTAAAATCTAGCTTTCGTATTACCCTCAACTTGAGGGTAACCCCCTAAAATCAGGCACAAAGTCCAAAACATAGGGATTGGGTTATATCTGACGTCACAAATAACACAACTGGAGTTTCTTTACTTTGGACTAACTGGAGTTTCTTTACATTTTTTGCTGTTGTGTTTGCCCATATGGACGAACAATAGAACAACCTTGTCAAAACCAATGCTTGAACCACTGAACACAACATTTCCTGATCCATGAGATGACGAATCCTACGAATTTGGCATAACTTGGCCATGTATATAGAAACCAACAGACTGATATGTTCATCAAATTTCATATATGCATCTAGCATGACTCCCAAGTCTTTGGCAGAAAAAACTCAGCGAGAATTCTATAGTAAATGGTTTTAACGAAGCTGGTGATCCAAATAACATGAATTTTGTCATTTCTGGATTTATTAAAAGTGAGTGGAAACAAAATCTCCTGAAGGGAAAGAGATACATACTTCCAAATTTTGTATGGCTGCTTTGTATATCCAAATGTACAGGTTAAGTAGACAATTTTGGCCAAACCGTTATGTCCGAAAGCAGAAAAAACACTGTTTCCATGGTAACTTATGTGAAACTGCCTATTTTCAAAAACTGTCTACTTAACCCATAAAAGGTCATAAGATACACCTATAGTCAAAAAATGAAGGTAAAATATTAAATCCTCTATTTTTAGATTTTCCACAAACTCGATTATTCAGATATCGTTCGTTTTGAGAAAATTGAGTTTGTGAAGATGATCTAATGTTTTAAAGCAATTCACGACCACATCCAACACACATATTCTAAAAAAATGTTATTAGTGTTATCAGTTATATGTGTTGATACACACATGGTAAATATAGCTGCCTACCTTCTGCCCATATTTCTGTAAATGGCATAGTATTTACCGAACACAGTCAGTGCCACTTCTGTCATTTTTTGCCAACTACTTCAAATGTCGGCATGACAAATTTAATCTGAAACTGTTCATCATTCTTTTTCCTTTTTGGTGCTCTCTTTATTTTGGGTTTAGTATTCTGCACAGGCTTATCACTTAGATGAAACCCCCCAGGTTGGTAGGATTTCTTGTCAGCTTTATCTTTCTTCTCGGACCGTAGCTTTTGCCTTTTCTTTCTGTATTTCTCACTCACTTTCTTCGCCGCATTCTTTATTCGAACATAATCTTGCTTCCTGAGGGCTTTCATTGTTTCAGCACCAGGAGTGACACCACAAAGATCCAAGGCCACTGCTTTGCTTGCAGCACCAGTGTTAAAGCAGCAATTGTTTCACATGCTGCTATGCACACTCTTCTGGCTCCACAAAACTTTGTTTTGGGGCATTTAGACCAAAGTATCCCATTTGCTGCCTCATTCTGGTTTTGGGTAATCCCTTTCAAACACCTAATCAGCAGGTATCTTTTGACAGCCTTGTAAATATGGGATAAAGTTCTGCCATAAATACCACTGACAAACTAGCATCTTCATTGTACAAATTGGTATGATCGTTCTTGACCTTCCAATATTTGCACCAAGTGTCTGCAGACATTGGCCAATATTCATGCTGCTTCTTCAAGGATTCTTTGTCATTCTTTATCATGTGGTGTTGAATTGCCTTGATGAGTGACACCACAAAGATCCAAGGCCACTGCTTTGCTTGCAGCACCAGTGTTAAAGCAGCAATTGTTTCACATGCTGCTATGCACACTCTTCTGGCTCCACAAAACTTTGTTTTGGGGCATTTAGACCAAAGTATCCCATGTGCTGCCTCATTCTGGTTTTGGGTAATCCCTTTCAAACACCTAATCAGCAGGTATCTTTTGACAGCCTTGTAAATATGGGATAAAGTTCTGCCATAAATACCACTGACAAACTAGCATCTTCATTGTACAAATTGGTATGATCGTTCTTGACCTTCCAATATTTACACCAAGTGTCTGCAGACATTGGCCAATATTCATGCTGCTTCTTCAAGGATTCTTTGTCATTCTTTATCATGTGGTGTTGAATTGCCTTGATTGACTTCTTCAGTCCTTCTAAATCGCCTTTATTCCCTCGAATCGCCTTCCCATAATCTGCATTTTGGCAATCACTTTATCGGTCAATCATCCCCTTACTCCAACCCCTTTTCCATCTGAAAGTTTTTTTCTTTTTATCATTTTTGTACTTTCTCAATGCTGTCCCAAGTCTTTTCTGCACATGGCCAACACATTCTTCTTTCTTGACGTCATATCCTGTCCCACATTTCTTCTCCAATGCTTCCTTCACCCGTCCAAAACTGCTACTGTCTCCATCACCAACACAGGTAGTGTATTTCAAGTTTCTTGTTTCAATACTCAGGCTACTGAAGATATCAACAGCTGACACAGCTTCCATCTCCTCAGATGAACCATGATGATTAATCTCACAGTTCTTCTTGTGAGCCTTTTTCCATTCTTTGTAGTTCACACTTTCATGGTCACAACTACTATGAGCTTTCCCTCATAACAAAAGAATGACTTCAATTCATAATCAAGAATTTCACACTTCTCGACAGAAATAACAAACACAACTCCAATCTTGGAGGAGTGTCCTCTCTTCTGCCAGGTTCCATCAATGGGATAGTCCTGCACGCCCTAATTGACCCGATGCCAATGCTGCTCTCCAGTTCACTTCATGAGATCCACCTTCCTTGCCACCAAGTCGTTTACTTGTTGACAATTGAGTCACGACTTTACAAGTTGAACACTTCAAGAATAGGGATTCTGACAAACCTCTTGTACTGTTGTTCTGGCAATGCCAATGCTGCTCTCCAGTTCACTTCATGAGATCCACCTTCCTTGCCACCAAGTCATTTACTTGTTGACAATTGAGTCAGACTTTACAAGTTGAGCACTTCAAGAATAGGGATTGTGACAAACCTTCTCTTGTACTGTTGTTCTGGTAAAGTCCAAGCTTTGAATTAGGTTTACGGCATGAGCTACATATCGCTGGTTTAGAAATGCAGTCATTCAACAGTATAGCATCTTGAAGCTTGAATCCCTTTGCTGTTTCAATATCTGGTATCGATCCCAAACCAACCTTTCTGGCTTGTTTGCGAGTCAAACGACCACTCTTTGATTCAAACTTTTCAAAGGAACTGTTTAATAACTTTTTAGATGAGATACTTCCATCAGCAGGGCTTGAAATTGGCATAGGAATTTCATTTGAAACATGCGAACTGTCATGATTTCCGCTTGACATTGTTGGGTCATTTCTCATCTTGTTGGGTTTCTCCTGCGGTCTTACACCATAAAAAACAACTTCTTTCTTTCTTAACAGATCCCTTCTTTCTCTGATAATCTCTTGTCACACTTATACAAAAAACAACTAAAAAACGCTTTTTAAAACACTCGATTGAGAGAGATTGTTTTGAAAACTTTTGTTGCTTCAAAATTAGCTTCGGAGGCTATCATAAACAATTGTGAATAATTCGTATTTTTAACCTGCAATCAGGCATTATTTAACTTGCAGACACAAAAGGAAGGTGGCTTTCTTGTTCAACAAGGCTTTCGGGGGTAAAACCCCCATTGCAACCAAAGTAAACAAACACTCGCAAACAGTTACTATGCATATTTTTATGGCATCCTTCCAGAAAAATGCATTTATTAGGAAAACGCTTTCCAATATGAAGAAAAAAGTGAAGGGGGTCAAAATATAATAACTAAAGAAGCCGGGAAAGGCAAACAAAAAATTTTCCAAAAATTAATTAATCTTTTGATCGAAATTTAGGGTAGACTACCTAGGAAGAGCGCAAATGCATGTAGTACCGTATATGATTTTGTTGCCAAAAATGTACACTTATATTTCACAGGAGGGACAGAATGCACACTCAGGTGATAAGTGAGGAAATTTGCACATCACTAAATATGAAAAGTATCAAACTTTTGAGTAGTGTAAAAATCTGTGTTCACATAATGCACACCTGACTTCAATTCTTAAAACACTTTCTCTCAAAAAATTCGTACAGCAAAGTTAACAGTCTGGCATATAGTGTATCAATATTATGTAAAATCGAATTTGAAACACTTGCATGGGAACCATGTCCAAATGAACAAAAAAAGGGCAATGCTCATCTGAGATGGCTAGACACACAGGGTTTGATAAGTGCTGTGCTGAGTGGTTATATTACTACCTTAAAAAAAAAAACCCAAAAACTCAATGTTTCAAGCAAAGATGCTTCGTCATGAGTTAGGGGTGGACCATTAGAAAAGTGATGGGGGGAGAGCAAAAATAAAAATCGAGCAGAAGAGACTTTTCAATAGCGCAAAATTATAAGTTGTGTAAGGGTGGCCCCCAAATTTGGAAAATAAAACCTTTTTTGGTGTGAGAAAAAATCCTAAATGTTGCAGATATTGGTGCAAAAAACGCATTTTAAGCATGCCATTTTAAGAAGAATTTGTCAGGGCAAATGTCTTTTGAACCATAACTAAACTGATGTTAGTCCGGAAAATTTTTTGACCCTTTTTTATGCACTGAAAACCTTTTTCTAGCCCCCCTTGCCAACAATTTTTGGGAAGAAAAAAATTTGAGCAAGGGATTAGTAAAAGGCTGGAAATGGACCCCCCCCCATCACTTTTCTAATGGTCCATCCCTTAGTATCAGGGAAAATGCAAATGCACAGGCTTTCATATTAAGAGTATGAAAGCATCATGTGACAAAAAATAAACCAATTAGGCGGATTTGATCATAACGAAGTGTAAACAAAATATGTAATCGCATTACAGAATATAATAACACAAAAATATAAAAATATACAGGAAGCTAAATAGTAATTGTCTTAGCTTCCTGTATATTTTTGTACTTTTTTATTGCTCTATATTGGTCCAACTTGGAAACGCTTTTATGCAATAGATATTGAGCCTATAAATGTCAGGAATGACTATAAGCAGACTATGCCCTATGGCTACATTTTTACACTGTACCGGATAGCTTGAAATATGTAGTGATGTGAAAAATACCTACCCTAATGACCAATCCCTGCCTGATGGGAACGCTATTTTCAGAGGAATTATTGCAACAGAGAGATGTTGTTTTGCTTAGCTTCTGAAAGATATGTGTATATTCTGTATCGAAGTAGGTGCTTTTTAGTGCCGCTACGGAAACCTATCGGCTATATGCCTATATCCCGCAATATTCAAATGTACGCATTATACCTCAACAGATAAATCTTATAGTGATGTACTACAAATGTTGACATTTTATACTATGCTATAAACAGAAATTTGTGTGGAATGCGTAAAATCTACAATCAATTATCTTCCTTCTCATCCCCCCCCCCCCCAATTACATGAGCCATAACATCACACACATGTATGCATAGGGTAAATTAATATTAGTTGTCCTTTGTAAAAGCATACTTTAAATATTTGTGTGTATTGTTTTCTTTTACTTATGTGTCGGATGCATACCTATCAAATACTATCTCACATTTTGCCAGACACACACCATGCATGCATGTGCATAATACTGTCAAAATGTAAATCAGTCAAAATGTAATTTTTTAATAGTCATTGTGAGTCGTGACAACTCTGCAGCCATGCTATTTGACACTTGTAAATCTTCAAAATGGCACGTATGCCATAGCAAGAAAGTTTATGAATGACTTTGTCTATAGAGCCTCATGTTAGTTAATATTTGTGTCTAATGTAATAAAGACAATTAATATAGGCAATGGTGCAGCTTACATATTGATATGCAAGGTCAAGTACTATACGTACAGTACAGAGGTTCATAAAACATTTTTGATTGTACAGACCAGTTTCTTTTCAAAAAATTACAAATGTACACAAGCAGACCAGTCACATGCAGATGCTACATACATGCATTCTAGTTCAGTCTTGCTGGAAAGCCTGCTACTTGTGTGTCAAATGCACTTTCCAAATATGATCTCACATTTTGCATACACATGCATGCACGATGGCATGTACATAATAAGACATAATAAATGAGCACAAGACAGTTTCTAAACAAGTTAAGACTGAAAATCAAACAAAATTACACTGTAGGCATAATGTAATGTCATAATTAGTATTCCTGCTAAACATAGTTAGACTATTGGTATTGGCTATCATCATGGTCATCATGACCATGCATGTCAATTTTAATACATAATGTTCATTTTAATAATAATAATAAAGCTAAATGTTTCTGTCAACAAATTTAACTCCCTTGAAAATCCTTACTTCCATGATACCATCACTTTTGATCACAGAATACATGCTTAACACTGAGTTGTCCAGTAAGTTGTCTCATGTAAAAGCCCTTAAAATATTTATGCAGATTGTTTCCCTTTATTTGTGTGTCGAATGCATATTTTCACAGGTCTTTCACACTTTTGCGTATACTGATAACTGATTCAATTATGATCATTCCAACAATGAATTTGGAACTTCATAATAATTGTAACCCTATACACTGTGATTGGTCATTTGAGCAAAGCACGCAAAATTATAAGCTACTGCATTGATTATGAAGAAGGGTTGCGCATTCACGCTATTAAACGTTGTTATAACAAATTGGGATTCAATACATCATTTAAATTTCGCTCAGATGGTACTGCTCAAGAAATATACAAGTAAAAGGAATACTGCAGTGTGCCTTTATGTTTTGTATAGCGTCAACCATGGTTTTCCATTGAAATTCGCACGAAAATCGTCCATCACTGACCTACACTTCAATTTGATCTCATAATGCTTCTCTTTCCTTCGAATAAGACCACAGGCATTTTCGTTTTATTCTGACCTTACTATTCTATACTTCAATCTTACGTTGTGTTCAATCGTTCATATTTTGTACATTCATATTTTGCCATGTGTGTGGTGCGTATAGACATAAATATCAGTAATTATGTGCTTATACGACTATACCATTGGCATTGTCTAGCTTATACGAACAAACTACATGTATATTTACTGATGGACATTGAATTATATACCGGTGTCCAAAAAAAAGTATTGGTGTTTGATTTGTTATAACGTTAAAACTGGACAAGGTGTTTCAATCAAATAGACTTCACTGAATTCAGAAAGGCCTAACTTAAATTTTGATATATATATATGACTTGAAGATATTTGAGCAATATTGAATGAAATACTACAGTTTCATTTCAAAGAAGCAATTTTGAAAATGCTTAAAATTACATTAAATCGGCCTATCAAATTAAGATTTAATTTAATGCTGTTCTTGTCAACACAACGCATGATCAATAATATTTACACATTCGATGATTTATTCATCTGAAAAAGCATGTTCTTGAACACCTATACAACGTCCTACTCTGTTAACCATGCCAAAAAAAGCACTTTGAATCATTTGTGCATCTGAAACTTTGGCACACTAAGATAACTGCCTGACAGAGCTGTCTCAAATAATTCCTATAGGCTGCTGCTCATGTGGGACATTCCAAATTTTTTGCTTCAATTTGAATTCTCACATTCAAATTTTTCATTTCCCACAAGGCCCAAAGCCGGTCAAAATATTTTAAGTATAAACATTAAAATAATACAAGATTGAAGCTAACTTCTTTACAATTTCCAATACTCCTGAAAAAATAGCAAATGTCTTCAAAGAAATTTAAGGAGCAATTTATTTAAAAAAATAAATTAGGATTAATAAGAGGCAACATCCATACTGAAAACTATGTAACCTAAACGGAAACGATAAGCAAAGAAAACAACCGCTTAGCTCTCCGGGCAACATCTGTGAATGCCAAACTGCCAATATAATCCCATTTTGCTAAGCCGACATTCTTCAGTCATCAGCAAAAGCTAGCCAAATTTTATCTCAGTTCACTCTGGTTTCAACGGTCTTCGAGAACTACATTTATAAGATTACGTATCCTTTGCCTGATCCCGAAGTGGTAAATAGACTTCATTACTCTGTAACTCAATTTAAGATATCCTAAAACTGTAGCACTAGCCAGTTATACAAGCCAATTTGACTGAAGCATGCATATGGCAAACAATACGCTATACACAAATCTCTAGGTTATAATATATATATACATGTACTATTGTACTGTACCAAATCATATATCTCAATCAGGAATAAATTTACAAACTACCTGTACATAACCTCAGCCACGACACGCATGTATGGATCGAAATACAAGATATACAGAACACCCTACACACGCATTATACATACATTATGCCCTTACTATACAATATCTCACGATATGGTCTACTCTCCAAACCCGGTGAAGACCCAAGAAATCATTA